ACTTCCATGTTCATGCTCGAGATCCTGAATGCTGGCAACTTGCTGCGCAATCGTCTTTTGGACATCGTCAATCGTAGCTTCAAGCTCGGACCTCTGCAGCTCATGTGCCTGGAGACGCTCCTCTTGTTTGTGAGTTCCTTGATGCGCGTGGTGTAGTGCGCCACTCGTGCAGAGAGGGGTTTGGCATCGACAATGTTGAGTTTGATGTCGTTCCTCTCTTGCTCCAGCTCGGCGCGGGTGCACGTTGCCGACTGCCCTAAGGGTATTGGCGATCTCGGTGAGCCTGCGCTGGTTCGCATCGTCTGCAACCTCGGGTACAAGTGTGGGAAGACCAGCCGCTTTGTATTGAGCACTGAGCTTTTCTCGCAATTTAGCGATCTCAAGATCCTTGGCGCGGAGCTGCTGTAGCTGCTTCTGGTCCTCATCCTGTCGACGCTTCTTCCGTTCGCCTTCAACCGCTGGGGATCACATGCTGGGAACATCAATAGGTTTGTGTCCACCAAATGCATTACTGTTGCTTCCCCCGCAGCTGGCACATGCAGTGCAATCTCCTCGGTTCCACCATGTCTCCCCTGTGCGAGCGCGCTTGCACCACCTGCATAGCCATGATTTGGCCCATGCGCGCCGAGCAGCTGCTCCAGAACCAAACGCTGGTGTGCCGCCATTGGCCATGGGCTCCTGCGGTACGCGCACAGGAGGGGTAGATGACTGGATGCGGAAGGAAGGAGAAAAGTGCAGGGCTGATTGCGCGCGAAATAAGAGAGACTGGCCGCGGACTAGCGGTATCCACTTGTTTCACAGGGAAACTGAAAACCTTGAGCCAAATGGCGACGTACGGGAGGGGAGGGGAACGGGAGGGGGAGGGAGAGGGGACGGGGAGGGTCAGGGGAGGGAGTAAAGAGAGGGAGCAAGAGAGAGAGAGAGAGAGACCAGAGACGGAAACAAGAAGCGCGAGGACAAGAAATGGCCAGACCAATGGGCACGGCCAGAGCACGACACGACCCCGTGAACGCCAGGTTGGATAGCGTGAGCCCACGGGGAGGCCTCCCTCCTCCTCCTCCTCCTCCTCCTCCTCCTCCTCCTCCTCCTCCTCCTCCTCCTCCTCCTCCTCCTCCTCCTCCTCACCCTCCTCATCCTCATCCGGGTCCTCCTCCTGCGCCTGCTCTCCCTCCTCCTCCTCCTCCTCCTCCTCCTCCTCCTCCTCCTCCTCCTCCTCCTCCTCCTCCTCCTCCTCCTCCTTCCCCCGGAGGACCAGAAAGCCACATAGACTTTCTTTGGGGATGCCTACGCGGGATTCTTGGGTCGGCGAGGACACCCCTGCCCGCACCCTTTCCCTGGCGCGGGGAGCGATCCGGAGGCGGCGCTGGAGGCGCCGCCATGCCAGCGGCGGGGAGAAGGCTTCTTCGACCCCGACGCGTGCGGATGCTGAATTCTTGCTCTTCGGCGCTCCGAAGGCCACCTCCGGCTGAAGGGGGGCCAGGTGGACAGGCAGGACCCCGCAGCGATCGGGGGCCTGGGCACGGGATGCCGGACAGCGGCTCGAGAACGGGTGCCTTGGGCCCTGGGTGCCTGGAGGGGGCGGAGGCTGGCAGCAGGCCAGCGCGAAGCTGCCAGAGGCCAGACTACAGCAGGGAGTGCCTGTACGCCACCACCATGCATCGCCAGGGCTGGGCGTGGTGTTGCACAGGTGCCCTCTGCGGGCACATGGGTCGGGAGGGTGGGGGAGGAGCGGCAGCAAGCAGGCGGAAAAAGATCTATTCCCCCACACGTCCACGGCCCCGATGTTGCACCCACTCCCGTGCAACCGTGCGGGGCCCAGGGCACCTACCCTGCACTCCCCGGCCTTCTACGGCGGGCCCGACGAAGGCGCCGAGACCGAGGCCGAGGCACCCAAACACTCGGCGAAACAGCCTGGCGGATCCGCCGTGCGAGGCCGTCAAGTGCTTGGGTCACCCAGTGCCCGTACTTCACGCGGTCTCATGAGCGGCCTCTGTGGCCGTCGCCACAGCCTTGTCGGAACCGAAGAGCACCTTACCCATCGGTCGGAAGAAGTAGGTAGCAACATGAAGTAGGCAGGCGTTGGAAGTAGATTGGGTTTCCGCCCGCCTCTTGACGAGGAGGGAAGAGGGAAAACCACTCGACTCTTGCAGTAGGAATGCGGCTAAAGTAGATTGGAATCTGAGTCCAGAAATACCTACTGTAAACGACCGATGGGTATCCACAATCCGTCGAGGACTGCGGCGCCACTGCACACGCCGCCACATCACTACCAGAGCACAGCACCACGATGAGCAAGCGACCAAAAGGCCCGCGCAAAATGGTAGGCAAGGGCTCGGCTGCTCTCCTCGAGGGGGAACAAGAGCCCGCCCTGATACGGTTGGGGATAATGGCGGTGCTGTCTACGCAACGGACGTGCGGCAAGCGCGCGTCGCCCGTGCTCACGTCGTCGTTGAGACCGCCCGCCAGCCAAAGATCACCGGGCGCCCCCATGTAGCAGGCA